AGATTTTTTTTTTTGCGATTTCTTTAATGTATACTATAAATAGAGGAGTATATCAAATTGCCAACAAAAGACTTTGGTTTAGCTACCCTCCCTAGAGCTCTCACCCCTTTTGCTTCCTTGGTGACTCAAACTCGCAACCTTTGGATTGGAAGTGAGGGGTGCTTACCATCCGAGCAACTCCCTCTCGTCAGCTAAAAAAAAAAAAAGTATTATTTTGCATACCATTTATTTTTTTACATGTGAAAGAGTTCATAAAATACTATGCATTAATAGCAACAAACGTAACTGTTGCATTATATATATGTATGTATATGAAAAAGCAATAATATAACAATAAATATTATATTTCGAATTCATAAAGATAAGTATTTTACGTATTGTTGTAAAAGGAATAAAAAGGTTTTATATAATGTTATGTATCGATTTTTTTAATCAGTATTGTAAAAATATAACGGGCTATATGCAATTGAAAACTTAAAAAGTTAGCTAATGTAGAATTGTGGACGGTATTTTTGTCCCTTTAAAAAATCTCTCTAAATTACAATTTTCAATGACTATTTCAACAACTAGTACACTTCAACTTCAAACTAATTAAGGTTGACTAGATGTATAAAGTCACTTACAATATATTTCAATACAAGATTTAGCTATTCATATATTATAGTTATTATTTCATTTTTATTATGTATAAAATAATATATAGATTCTCTCGTAATATTATATGTACGATACGAAAGAGGTGATCTCGTTATTTTTGCTATGCTTTAATTTGCTTTTATTTGTGCCCTTGATGGTGAAGATGTAAAAGTAGGAGCACTCTGCAAAATAAGAAATGTGTTATAAGTCGATAGTCACAAGTTAAATCTATGGTGATAAAATTCACAGATAAAGAACAAATATAGAAAGATTCTTTCATGTATCATCTGTTATTGACACGATGAATAATCTATTGAAGTAACTAGTAGTAACATCTTCCAAGATATATCATTAGTCATTACTTATTAATAGTGACAAATTAAAGTTGCCTAGATAAGATAAGGGACAAGTAAAAAGATCTTATTTTATAAAGTTATTACCAAGGGAATACCCTTTGCTGCTCTTTCTTCCAACAACTTTGATGGCTTGAAGAAATTATCATATAATTCTGAACATTTTTCAAGACTTCTGCCAAACCTTCAAATGGTAGCAAGGACAAGTCTATGGAGTGCAATTGTAAAGCTGCTAAACCTGCTCTGGTAGGTGGTCACGATAACAGAGGTGCAGAGTTCTCATTCAATGACATGCTACTAGGTTATTTTTGTCCATGATATATATCAGACACTTTGGCAAGCAACAATCTAGTTTTTGCAATCAAGATTATTAGAAGCAAAAGCTACTCTCTCAAGAAACACAACGTCATATGAACATCAAGGCACCTGATCGAGTAATTGACAGAAAGTCTTAAGTTGTCATTTGAGTTTAGTGTACTGTACTTTATTATCGTAATATCTATTCCTATATTATAAAGGAACATAGTTCATTTCAATTGTAATTGTTGTGAAACCGAGTTCAATGGCTAGAGTTAGTTGTGATGTGTTTGATTGAAGTCTATGTTAACTAGATGTAGTTAACAATATGATTATTGTTTTGAGTCTTGTAATAGAGGTGTTACAAAGTGTAGGATTAAGGGCTCGTTTGGTGTGAGGGATTAGAAATAATAGTGATGGGATAAAAAATAATTATGTTGTTTGGTTGGCAAGTCCGGGATAACTTATCCCGGGATTAATAATTAGTACCGGGATAAGTTATCCCTTCCCATGGGTGGTATAGTAATCCCGGGATAACTTACCCCGAGATAGAATAGGTAAATGACAAATATGTCCCTTTAAATCCTTTTTATATATCATTTTTTACATTTATGTATATTTACATTTTTTTTAATACCATGTATAATAATATTTACTACTCCTTATTTTTATGATAATTATACATATTTTTCTATTAAAAAATTATACTATATAAATATAATTTTTATTTATGAATTTATTTGACTAATTCTTATGTTTATTTTATTTTGATTTCTCATAAATTTTCTTCTCTTTAATAAACTTAAGAGGAAAGTTCTATTTCTAAGCTAAATAAGAAAAAAGTTATATTTTTAAATACTCATGGTACTTATCATGGGAATACATAAACAAAAATATTTAAGTTAAACAAAATAAAAGTTTTATTTTAAAAAATGAATAACTAAAGCTCACAAAGAAAAATTTAAAAAGTTTAAATAAAGTGAAGGGTAATTTTGTAAACAAACAACTTGTTCTTAAAATTTATCAATATATATTATTTGGAATATAACAAACCAAACACTCAATAAGAAATAATCACAGGACAACTTATCCCATCATAACTAATCCCAACATAACTTATCCCAACATAACTTATCCCATCATAACTCATATTCAAACCAAACGACCCCTAAGAGTTTAATCCTTTGTGATTACCTACCGGAGTCTGTATTCATTTGTTTGAAGTTAGTGGAGTTGTTGTGAAAGCATGTGTGACAGATTGTGGCTTTCTCCTCCCTCGAATGATTTACACTATGATATTGAAAGAGAGGTTATTTTTCTAAAACTTTTCGATGAAATCAATTTACACAATGATATTGAAAGAAGCCCATGTCTTCACTTGGGCCACGTGGCCCAAATCTGAGCTTGGATGGAGCAGGCCAGAAATTAGCCCATCAAGCCCTATCTTAATGCCCCATTTGAGTTACAAGCCCACTTACAAACAATAACTGGAGAATAACACTCTCAATTTATGTAAAATATAATTTAATTTGACGCGGAGTTTAAGAAAGAAAAAAAAGACTTCTGAAAACTTGTGGTTTGAAACAAGTCATAAATACTTGTCTGACTGATTATTAATCATTTCATTAAGGGTAAAATAAGGATTTTAAAGTTATTTTGTTATCAAGTATAAAAATATGTTATTCTTCTTTATACTCACGAAAAAAACGTGTCACATACTCGGATAAATTAAAACAAAGAGAATATAAACAATTATATTTTCTTCTTAGGTAGATGAATGTATAGACAAGGGAATAGACTTTTTATGGGATATAGTTTGATCTTCATGCGATGTCTCGGACTCAAGTTTTGGGCATGAAATTCTTTTAGTTAGAGCGTTTTTTTAAAAAAATAAATCTTACCGAATTGGTTACCTCGATTTTTGACTATTTTTATTTTTTGTTACCTCGACTTCAATTTGCACACAGTTTTCCTGCATGTGCTTAGCATTTGGACCTTAACATCCTCTCTTTTTCCAATTTTTTGGAAAGATAGCTGCACAGAAAATAATAAAATTTAACTTATATTATATAGTTTTAAAAAAATGAAAAATATTACTTTCAATAAAATTCTTTGACACAATCACTAAGGAAGTCCTTTCAAGGACGATTCCCATGTATAACGCACGTATAGGATAGAAACGTTATTATTGATAGACTCTTGATTCAAAACAAACGTAATTAAAGTAGAATTGAATGAAAAAATAACAACGAACAGATTAGCAAGATAAACAATCAAATAAACAACAAGTAAGTAATAGTAAAAAATTGAAGAATGAAATACTACGCAATACGCACATACTAAATAAAGAGAAAGGTAAGAAGAGGAGACCCCGTCTCTTCCACATACAAGTACAACAATAACACTCAGGCACTCAGCTATCTATGAATCTTCTACCATAATCTTCAATCTTTATAACTCAATAAAATACAAATTCAACTTAAAAGATAATACTCCTCCTTTCTCAATTTAATTGTCTTACTTTTGTTTTGGTGTGTCCCAAAAAAATGTCTCCTTCTATATTTATTAAGTTTTTAAATTCTAATATTATACCTGACAAATTTAAGACCATAAAATTTAAAAATCTATCGACATCTTTAATTTAAAATTACAAAAAAATTTATTTTTTTTTTAAAAAATTCTTGTCCAATCAACCATTCTAAAATTTAAAAAAAAGTGAATAGCAAAATAGTCACGAGACTACAAAAAGAATTTGTCTTTTAGGAGGTCACCACAGTCCATTTCCACAAAATTCTAATAAGAGAATCCCTCTTAAAAGCTTTTTGTTTTTTTTATTCATTTAATATAAAATGAAATTTGAATTATTTGTCACGGGATTTTATTATACACTAACCGACAACCCCTATGTTCTCCATATAATCTAAAGCATAGATAAATCCAAAAAAAAAGAAGCAATGGATGTTTTTTTCAGTCCTCAAAATGATTTTAAATTTATGATATTTATTTAAGTATATTTAATCTTTAATAAATTAAAATATATAATTTTTATCTATTTACTTGTGATTATTAATTATTTATCACTTAATTATCATATATTATGCTAAATTTGTATTCATGTTACTTCATATTTAACGGTAATATAATTTTTAAAAAGTTCAAACATATATATTTCTGACATAAATATATCAAAAAACACATCTTCACACTTTAACGTTGAATTATATATCATCAAGGACCAAAATCACCCACATGAATTGTGGATTAAATGGAAAAAATCTTATCAAAAGCGTCATCGTGCTAAAGCGTAGTTATTATAAAAATAACCTATATATTTTATTTATCTCATTTATATGACACACTTTTCTTTTACTATAACTGTAACGAAAATAGTAAAATATCTATAAAATATTTTAGATCACAAGTTTCGAGATTTTTCTCGTTCTTAGTTAAACACATGTAACATTGTAGAGACGCAGTACTTTTTTTCACTTTTTTTGGACATATAAACAGCACCTGGTATCCATTTATAATTTCTTGCTTATTTGTACTTAATTGCAAGAATTAAAATGGAGGAGGAATTTAATTCATCACCCAAAAGTTATACAGAAGTTGAAACTGATGATTCAACTAACTTCAACAACTCTCTGCAAGTAAGTAATTAATATCTATATGATTGTAATATGATGAGTACTTGTTTGTTTGAGTGACAAAGCTAGAGGGTTCATCTTAATCTTGTTCGCTTGGAAATTACATTGTATATATAATGTTACTTTTTTTAATGTGTGTATCTTAGATAATGAACTTGTCAGGTGAAAATTCTGTCTCTGCCATTGATTTGCTTGTTGTTGTATTTTTTATCTAAATTTTAGGTGCTAGAGTATGAGTGTGTGTGTGTGTGGTGTTTCTTGACAACAATTTCTTGTGATGAGTACTTTTTTGTTTATGTGGTGGAGATAGAGGGGAGGAAGGAGTTTATCTGAACTTCGTTTGCTGGAAAATCACACTGTATATATAATGTTGAAAGTTTTGAGATAAATAGCCAAAATCACACTTGGCTATCACTTTTTTGCGAGTTTCAAAACTATCAATTGTTCGATTTTTCTACGTACCTAAACTATCACCATATGTGTATTAAAACACACCTAGTTGAGTAGATGTATAGGTGTTGGTAGTTGAGATAAGAAAATAGAACAACTAATAGTTGGCTTAATCACATAGTTAAAGTGTGAAACTTGTGGAAAAGTAACGGTTCAGGTGTGTTTTTGACCATTAACTCTAATTCTTTTTAGTGTTATATAGTAAATAATGAACTTCCTAGTGAAAATTCCGTCTCCGCCACTATTTTTTTTGTTGTTTCATTTTGTCCAAATTTTAGGTACTAGAATATGTGTGATGAAAGTGTGTGGTGTTTCTTGACAACAATTTCTTGTGGAGATTACAATTTTTTTAATTTTTTTTTTTGCAGGAACTCAAGGATTTGTGCTCTCAGCTTCACAATGCTGCAGATTATTGTGAGAAAGCATTTGTAAAGGCAGAAGAGAAAAGAGAGTGAGTACTTCTTTAGTTAATTTCTTCGCGTATTGTCACTGAATTTTATCCACTATAGCAGTTAAGTTACGAAATTATCTTTTGTCACATTGAAGTAACTGAATTTTCCGCAATATAACAGTAAAATCATAAAATTATTTTTTCTTCAATGTGACGATATGTCAAAGTTCCCTTAACGACATCCTTATATGCAATCTTTCTGTTGTTCGTTCTAGTACATTCAAAAACAAAAACAGAAGAGCATAAATAATGACAATATTTAAGATAATTTGAAGTTAAAACGAGCATTTGTCATGCGCGTTAGTGGAAAATGACATGGAAGGAAGTTGTCCCGAAGGACTTAATATAAGAAAATGATATAATAGAGGCGATACCAATTAGTTAGGACTAAGTTTTGGTCATGTTAGTTCGTACGTTTACTTTAGGTCTTATGTCTTAGACGTCTATTAGTCCTGTTAGAGAACGTCTATAGTTGAATCCCATCTTGTCTGAGACTGAGACGTACTACTTGTTGTTGTTGTTGCTGCAGTGTACTGGAGAACACAAAAGAGTATCTCTGCAGAGCTGTTGTTACAGTTGTCGATCATTTAGGATGTGTCTCAGCTAAACTTGAATGCAAGATTTCAACGATTGACACAGCTTCTGAAACAGAACTTCGAATTGATGGCTTGACTCAAGTTTGTCATTTCTACTCATACTTTTTTTTATACTGTCTGTGTATATAACTTAACGCCTTTACCAATTTCCCACCTTATTATACCTTCTCTTCTTTACTTATGATAATTTTTACTAATATTTTTATGTTTTGGTTCGATTTAAGTAGAGGCTCGCGACCTGCCAGCAATACTCTAACAAGCTTGCTCTCACTAGTCTTTGTTGGAATACTGATTTAGCAACATTTGATCATCGCTATATATCACCACGTAATTTTTCAATCCATTCAATGAGAAAGTCAGTAATAACTCTGAAACCAAACATAACTATATACTAATATTTCTGTTTTCTAAACCAGCAATTGAAGATCTCAGGAGAATGAAACAAATGTCAAGGTAATATTTTTATCCATTTTACCTGATTTCAAGTTATGTTGCTCGGACACTTGAAAAATGCCACAGAGTGCATGTCGGATCCTCTAAAAGTAGTGCATTTTTGGAGGATCCAGCATAGGTTCTGCAACATTTTGAAGAGTCCGAGCAACATAGATTTATAGGGAGAGTAAAAGCCTAACGGACTTATACGAATGAAGGGGATTTGGTATGCCAATTGACAATAAGACTCTACACAAGGATAGATTTGAGGCAGAGGAAGATGTGCCACTATTTTTGTACACTTACAACTTTAAGCCTTCTCTACTTGAAGATTCGAAGCAAAAGTCTAGCTTTTCGCCTCCAGGTAAGAAGAAGACACATTTACAAAATGGGAAGTTCTCAAATTAGAGTTTTTTGAAAGAAATGTTCATACTTCAATGTTCAAATATGGATTTTCAGTGCTTCCTGTTCTGGACGGACTATCTGTTGTACCAAAATCACAAAATTCCAACTTTGAGTTTCAGGTACACATATATCAGTTTTGTATATATATGGAGAGTGTTGAAAAAACACCATGTTCATGTGTTTTTTTTCTCTCTTGTGAATGCAGGAGGCTCGAAAGCAAAAACGAAACATATTGAGTTGGAAACCAATGCATAATAAGGATATCAGGTCACTCATTAGACGTGGTAGAAGAATAGTAACATGAATTTGTGAAGAGTCTAAAGACTGCCACAAAACTTCCCTTCAAGATATTGTAGGCCTCAAGTTACCAGGTTTAAAGATATGTATTATTACTCTTGTTTTGCAAATTATGTATATTATAAAGGGAGATTATGCTACAAACCATTTTCAACAAAACATAACATGCATTTTGAACTTCCCTATCCACAATGGAAGGAAGATCACTCACATACTTCGAACACTAACCACGTCGAACTCCTTAAAAAAGGTAGGAGTTTTACACACAGGTGAACTTTCTAACTACTTTAGATTTTGTTACTATTCCTATTCCTCCTATCACCCTGACATTGTTCTCGTTTCTTTTTTCGTTCCTCAGTATCGTTGCCTAGAGCTGTTAATGTCAAGATGTTGGACTTTTTAGGCCACTTCCAATCTTTTCAGTGTAGGAAAGTTTCTTGGGAGTAATACTAGCTAGTTTTCCTATGCAATTGTAGTCATTTTCACCTTTGAAATAAGCTTCCAAGTTACCCGTTGAACGATTCTTTTTCATTCCTGTGTCTCCTAGCTCTTCACTCCAACCAATGAAATCAGATAAAGTCGGTGTTTCTGCTGCTGGTGTTTGTGCAGCAGAACTTAACACCTCTGCCTCTAGTTCCCTAGGACTTGACATACCACTTAGTGGAAATTGAGGTGAGGAATCAGCTGATGAGAGGTTCAACTTTTCAATTGCAAGTGATGGATCTTGTGTTAGAGAGTCAGCGTATAGGACATCTTCGATACGCGACATAACCGTGTTAGCTAGGCTTTCTAACACCCTTGAATAGCTCTCCAAGACAGAATGTCCTATATCCTGTACACAATAATAAAAGTAGAACCAAACAGGTTATGATTTTGTGAGTAATGTAGAATTATTCTCTTTCAACAATACTTATCACTCTCTAAGTTTCATTATACATGAAGGTGTTTGATTAAACATGGATTTTAATAAAGAAAGACGGACTATTGGAACTCGTGGTTTTAAACATGCCATGACATTTTTGTGGCTACAAAATCATGCCATTAGGGATAAAGGGCAGCCCGGTACACAAAGAATTGCATGTTCACGCATTATCCAAGGAAGGGCTGCACCCTAAGGGGATGTAATGTAGGCAGCCTTCCTGACGCAAGCATCAGTAGCTGATTCCACGGCTCGAACCCCGAACCTATAGGTCACACCGAGACAACTTTAGGCTCTCCTTCAAAATCATGTCATTAGGGAAAAAATGGAAAATTATAACTTTAATTTTCTTTTTTGGAATAGACTAAAAGGGAAAATGTGCCACGTAAAATGGAACGGAGAAAGTATCTTACGTTGTTATATTCGATTTTGCTGATGTCAAGAGAAGATTGAGTGATTCCAGGAAATTTTTGTTTTAACAAGAGTAAGATAGCCTCTGCTCTTTCTTCAAAAAGCTCTCTTTTCTCTGCACTCACAGCTAAACCCCATGTAGATTTTCCATCTTTAAGGTGCATTTTCCTCTGCCAAATCACTATAGATGCCTCAATTCTGTCCTTAAGATCAAGAACTTTGTGTTCTGTAGACAAATCCATTGTTGAAAGGAATTGTTCGGGTTCAAAGAACTCAATTGTGATGCTCTTGTAGATTGAATCACCAAGACTTGATCTACCATTCTTGATGAAATCAGATAAATCAATAACAGAAATGTCAGTATCTTCGAGCCGAGCACCTTACAGAAAACAGGTTGATTTCTCAGACGGTCACTCAACTAATAATTCTCATCTCAGAAAGTCGATTCCAGTTTTCTCCAACAAAGAAAAGTGACTTTCTGAGATAATGACTATTAGTCGAGTGATCATATGAGAAATATAACTCAATATAAAGCTATGTTGCTTAGACTCTTCAAAAATATTGTCAGGTGAAACAACATTTTTGGAGTGTCCGAGCGACATTGATAAAAAGTGTATGCAAGAGAGTGTCCTTTTTACTTACCTTAGGAAGAGATTCAATGTAGTTTTCAGGAATTTCCATTTCTGAGAGTATTTGTGCATTAATAGCCATTGATGCTCTATGTACTTGGTTCACACAATCTTTCTGATATTGCAGCCATTTTCGACATGTATCTGAGAGACCCTCTGGTGGAACCTTGATTGTTGGTAGCCACCATTTATCATCCCTCTGGACACCTTTCTCAGATTCATCAGCATCTTTTGAGACATACCAGAACTCGTTCTCGTCTTTAAAATTTTCCAAGCAATCCTGTTAAGCATCATGAAATTATCCGTCATTAGAGATAATGCAGCTCATGTACTCCCTCTGTTCAAATTTATATGACATTCTTTCCTTTTTAGTCTGTTCTAAAAAGTGACATGCTCTTATAACCATAGAAATGCCATAGCATATTTTAGACAACAAGTTCTAAGGGTACTCTATATGTGTCTAAAGTCTTTCTTTATTAAACTTCGTCCATAGCCATATAAAATGAAATGGAGAGTAACAGATTAATTTGCTTGGACCCTCCAGAAACATTGGCACACTCGTGTCGGATCCTCCAAATATGCATAGCTTTTGGAGGATCCGACACACACCAGATGGTACTTTTTGAAGAGTCCGAGAAACATAAGAACTAATCAAGTAATGGCATAACAAGGGGGCAATGCAGGTACTCACAATGAGCATTGCATCAAGCTTTTTCAAGGCTGGGATGTTCATGAACAAATCTCTTCTTTGTTGTGTCACCATTACCTGCCAAATCACAATCAAGATTTCAGTTCTTTTTCAATGATCACTATTTCTATTCTAAGGTCATATGCCCGGTACGGAGGAAAACAAGTTCCTTAAAAATGAAGAAAATGACTTTCCTAACGGAAGTAGGAAAAACAAGTTCCAGAAGTGACATTCCACATTGATTGTCTCCTGCCCGCCCTCCAACACACCTCACCTTCACCCCACCTCCCACATTTTCCTTTGTACCGAACACACCCTAAATCTTAAATTGTAAAGGAGAGAGATATAATATAGGACCTCAATATTTGTTCCATCCTTAGATTTTTGTTGAGAAGGAACAAATTCAACAATGTAATCTGATACAGATAAAAGCCAGTTGATTTCTTTTTTCCATCTTCCTTTTCTCTCTTCAGACATTGGCTCCAATTTTCTTTGTTCTCCAAAAACAGAAGCTATATGTTTTACATACAGAAAGAGTTAGTACTATTTTCTTCATATATCTAAACATTTCTCCGAACAAAAAATTGGATGAGATTTGATCACATTCTGGTGAAAATGATCACCTGCAAGATTAGTAATGGCATTTGATAAAGCTAGAGCCGATGAAACGCCCTTTCCTCCACCTGACATGTCCTCTCCTAAAAGTAGCTTCGCGAACCTTTCTTTCATCTTCTCCATTTCTACATCCAAAACAGAGAAAAAACATGCATTTACATCTAACTTGGACAAAGGAAAACATGTATTTCTACATGTTTATGAAATGAATATCATGTAAAATGGTGCAAAATTGTAATTCAAATCTGCAGAGACGAATCCAGAATCTAGAGACAATGAATTTGAAATGAACCTAATCTTATTATATGTATATTTCAATTTCTTTTTTGCATATGTATACATAGTTCGAGTTGAAATGATCATGATCATCAATGAACCCGTCTTAGATTCACCTTTTTTATTAAAAAAATGATGACATGTAAAATGGTACAATATATAAGCATGTTTATTGTAATTCAAACATGTAGAGACGAATCTAGAATCTAGAGACAGTGAATTAAGAATGCAGGATATGATCTTAGAATATATATATATATATACATTCTAATTTCTCTTTGCATATACATTTTAGTTTCTTTTTGCATATGTATACATAATTCGAGCTAAAAGGTACAAACCTGAACTTTGTTTATCCTTGTGGATGTTTCTTGATCTTTCTCCTTCCTTGGCGAATCGCGAAACATGATCAACAGACTTATTTAAAATGCTACTTAATTGTTGTAATTCTAATGATGAAGATGATTTTGCACCTAATTGACTCCTAAATTTCATATCTTTGCCATGTCCAGTATTCTCTAACACAACATGATGATGACTATGTCCATGTCTTCCTTCAAAAATCTTCCTAATATTGAAAGATCTTGACTTTGAAATCTTATATATTTCTCTAACCATTTTTTTTCTTCTTTTTGCCAAATCAATTATGTAACAATGTCACATGGAAATAGAAAGAACAAAAAAATTAAACACTTAACTTCTCAAAGGAAGGCAAAATGATATGATGAATATGGAGAAATGGTTTTTTTTTTCCTTGCTTTTTGATTTGATAACATTAAGGAAGGGATATAGTGGGGGTTAGTGTTTTTTATGCTAATTATGGTTAATGAATTTTTATTTTATTTTTGGAAAGTGGGGTGCATGTTTGATGAATGGAAAAGGATAGGGGTAGGTGAAAAATTAAGTGGAAAAATAAATATTTGAACATTTTTTTGTTCTATTTTGGATTTGTTAATGGTTGATTTTTTTAATGATAGCAAAAAGGACGGGAAAGCATACAAATGGTCAACTAACTCTTATCTCTTTTTTTTTTTTGCCCCTCTTCTGCCTACTTTAATGTAAGTTCTTAGCTATAAAAGTCGATGCTTAAAACTTAAACTCATTTAAAAAATCTGAAACTAAAAATACGCAATAAAAGATACACTATTGAAAGTCGATTCCAGTTTTAATTTTTGATCTATTGAAAAAATGTCACTTTTTATATTTAGAAATTATTTGATTATAACATTTCACATCATGTTACAAGCTTAAGATCGTAAAAAACTTTTTAGTAAATGTTAATATTTCAATAACCACTAAAGAGCTAGTTTATACACTCATAATTTATAACTATCTTGAATAGAGTTCTGTTTTTACTCAATTTGAAAAATAATAAAAGAATAAATAAAAAGAGGGGCAAAGTGCTATAGATAATAGGACACTTTGGTGCATAAATACAATTTAAATTTTATATCACAAAATTTATTGATCGTATATACTTTTTTAAACTTTATATTTAATAAGACACATTGAACACAACTCTTATTGGGTCAAGTCACTAAATACCCTATTCTGAATATCAACAACAATAATGATGGTGAAAACTATAGTTTCAATTTAATAGCTACAACCTTGTTGTGGTGGAATGATTATGGACCTCTGTTCGTA